ATATTTTACTCTAAACGTTTCACATACCTACCAACAAAAAATATTTTTAAATTACGATAAAATAACTAAAAACGTATTATTCTTGGTTTCAAAATGTAATTTCGTCCAAATTTGAATATGAAATGTCTGTAAGAAATTCACTGTGCTTATATATTTTTAAAATTTTTTGGTTATACAGTATCAACTATTTATGAGTGTCTTTGCTTTATATTTTCAATCTTAGGTAGTTATAAAAACTGAACATTTTATAATTTTTTAATTACAATGATTGATCATTTTCGAGATTTTGATAAATTTTGCCAAAATTCGAACTTTAAACGTTTATAAAAAATTATTGTGTACCTATTTATGCAAATTATTTGTAATTTTCATTTTGCACTAATAACAATTTATGAGGAACTTTGAATTCAATGTGTACTTATTTTTTTGACTTCGAGAAAATGTTTTTATCGACGCATTAATTTTATGGTGTATACCATAGGAAATGTTAATAAACATTAAAGGGACGTCACACCGACATTTGTTGTCTCCGTATTAAACATGAAACATGGCAAATTTGAAAAACGACAATTTTTCAACTTTGAGTTTACCATTCCGACTGTATTTTTAAAGGGGGGTTTCCATTTTCCGCCAAAATGACCCTCACCTGTTATCACCATGGCTGTTTTCCACCAAAGGTTATATTCCGATTTCCTCCAAAAAAAATTAATAACTTTTTTTTGAGAACTCCCGAACTGAATCCATCAATTACTAATGATTACGATGTACGCGCCTCACCTTGTATCACACACTCGCTTCACCTTACACTACCTAGTGATGTTTAACATGTGATATTTATAAAAATTCTTTTTTTTGTATAGTACCTATAAATATTGAATGTGTACTTTTTATATAATTTTTAATTTTATAGTACCTAATGTATTATTTGGAAGACAAACTAGTGATGTTTATAAACATATATATATTTATACTTATACTGTTTTACGAACAATTCGTATATAATAGCGTATGTTTTGGAAAATACAGTGATTATACAGTAGGGTAGGTAGTTGGTAGGTTAGTTGGTCAGTTGGCACATTTGATATTGAGCTGCCAAGTCGGCTATTTAAAAATGTATTAATATAAGTTTTTTATGCACAAAATAATAATTTTAATTAACAAAATAATATATTTTGTTATTATAAAAGATTTATATTTTACCTATATTTTAGATTCTCAGCGGAGCGATGAATATATTGATTTTACAATGATGTGTGTTTTTTAATTTTTCATTTTCGGGTCTGTCCCATCTTTTGGGCCGGGCATAAACCTACTTCGATAATCTTCAACAGTATCTTGTTCGATAATAGGAAGTGAATATTATTATTGGTTATTGGTGTATTGGGGAAGTTAAAATTCCTAGTAGTTTTCAATAGACATTGAAGCGCTAAGCGCCGGAAAAAAAAACAAAAAAATTAAGGAAAAACTGGAATTTTTACCTAAAATCAGTTTTCAAAAAAATCGATTTTGTTTTTTGGTGCAGCTCTAAAATTAATGACCTTATACATGACATGACCTACGTAAAAAGGTTAAACGGGCGCAAACGTGTTTCACCGGATCCCGTGAACTTCCTTGCTCGTTAAATGTACCAAACTACCAACTCTATATTATAATTAAAACTTGGTTCAAGATACGATCAGGACACATTCAATTATAATATTATTTTAATGCCATCCCGACCGGCTTTGTCTATGAGACACGCTTGTGATTAGCGAGCAGTATATTTTCAGGATTCCTAAAATTTTCTTGTTTTCTTGCATACGATCCTACTCCGGATACATAATTATGAACACAACAAAAAAAGAATTAGCGAAGTCAGTCCAGCCGTTCACACGTGATGCGATGAACAAGGGAAACAGGGATCCATTTTTATATATATAGAGATTATTAGGTATATACCTATTTGACTTTTTTTAAATGAAATTTTAAATTTTAATGTTCCTACCTATATTTGATTTGTTTTGTTTTTTTCTATAATTATAGACTATGGCAACTAAAGATACTGATTTATAACAGTAGGTATGTTATGAATTCTTAATTATAATAACAGTATTAATAAGAAATAATATTAATGCCATTTCAATTTTCATTTATGATTACTTTTAATAACAGAATTTCTAACTTTAATTTCCTGTTTAACCTTATTTTTACAAACAATATCGCTTTAAATTTTTCATTTTTCACAATAATAATATATTGTCTGTAGTAATCAAAATAAAAATCTAAAGACTACAATTATTTTAGTTAATATTACTAACAACAGTCACAACCACTTGACAATGATTGAGCAAATATTTTTTAACCGCTATAATAAGTGTTCATTATGATTTATGACATTATTAATATTTAATTACTAGGTATATACTCATATTATAGGTTGGTATACAAGTAATATACCTATCATTTAAAAATTAAAAATCAAACAGGTACCTATTAAAGAAACTTAGTAAAACGTTTTAAAGTATTTTTCCTGGGATTTATATTTCGCAATTCACTGTTTCTATACTAGTTTAGTGCATATATTGTAAAATTATGTATAAAATCTTACCAATAAACCGACAAAAATCGTTTCCTCAAAACAAATACAGGCATACATTCAAATTTAATTCAATTTCTTTTTCAAAAAAAAAAAAAAAAAAAAAAATAAGAAATACAGTTTAATTTTTAAAGATTTATTAATATTTTAGTAAACGATTGAATAATTTATTTTGCTGGGGCTAAGCCAACCAGCCCCCCTAGTTGCGCTTTTGTTGATTCTCCCCCCGCCGTTCAATTACCTGATCTAAATCTGTACGGTTATCGACCGTGGTGAATTAGTGTAAACCAACGGAGTCACTTTCCTAATTCCTACATTATAACAAATATCATTGCATCCTACTATGATAATATCATGTCGACATGACGTATCAAAATAGTAACAACGCCCAAACTAGCATCGATTCTCGAACTTCGAGAAAGACATATTTATTATTGCACTACATATGTTTTACTATAATCTTTCACCGATTTCAAGAATCGAGGAGAAAATTTAATAAGAACGATATCATAAGTATTCACTATAATTATATATTTTTTGAGGGATCACTGCATGACTTTTGACATGATAATTAGTCAAATTGGGTTTTATAAAAGAACCAGGCGCGGCTCCAAGGGGGGGGGGGCACTGGGGCCATGGCCCCCCGGCTTTTCAAAAATTTTAATTTTTTACATATTTGTCCTTGTGTACTATTAAATCTTGATTTTAATTACCTACCTAACAATTTTATTTGGTGGCCTAAAAAAACCATATGACATTAATATGAGGTGTCAGGTGTGTATCATAATATAGGAACGTAGTCATAGTCGGACTCTGTACTAATTTGGGGAAACAACTAATAACAGTGAATACTCAATTACACTATTACAGACTACAGTCATAAACTCATAACATTTTAATACGTTTTCATAGTAAATTGTCGACGGACGGTTTATGTGCCTATATAATTTAGTCAATTATACAGAGTGTAACAGAAATATATGACAGATGTACATGTAAATCTTACACAAATCTGTCATATCTTTCTGTTAGTTGTTACACTCTGTATAGTCCTTATAAAAGAATAATACTATAAATAAACGTGTTTACACGAATCGACTATCGAGTATCGATGTATCATTGCATACAGCATAAGGACATTTCCATGAAAAACCTAAGCCCCCAGTATTCTAAAAATAATCAAAATATTATTCATCAATGTATGTGTCCGCCGCGCCAGTCCGCGTCGTCGCGTCGAACATACGATAAACTGTTAACGATTATTAGTAATGGTGAATCTGTAGTCTATTGTCTTTACTTTGCAATTTAGTGATAACTGAAAAAAAATGCCCCCCCCTTTGTAAGTCTCTGAAGCCGCGCCTGAAAAGAACAAGAACCTAAACTTTCAGTTAACAGATAGGGAGAAAAACGTACAATAATTTGGCACAGAATCTTTACAAATAGTAAACTAGTGACTAGTGATTTATACGATGTATTTATTTTTTTGTACGAATGGAGATAGTATTTTTTGATTTTTGTTTTTACATTGTCCGCCCGCCGCCGTCCGGAGAGAATATTGCGATAACGCATTCGACATAATATTAATCATTAAAATTATCGACAGGACCTGTTAGTACACGTTTGTTATTTTATCGCTGTGTGCATGGTGGTGTGAAATAGTAAATACTAGCACTGGTGGTATATTAATAATTATTAATATAGTGTAGATTGTTGTGGCCGTTGTTGTGGTGGGGAACGATCCATTTTCGTTCGTGTGTTGTACTATTCAATAATCAATAGTATCTATTGTGTATACTCGCTAGTAGCCACTCACTAACTCCTGCTGTGCCTGTACGGACTACGGAGAGTATAAATTGTACGCTGTGGCGTTGTACGACTGTCTATTGATTACTGAGTGTACAGTCTCTATATTTTTTTTTTTTTGCTTATTCCATTTTATTCTGTTTTTAATTCGATTGCTCGGTTATCCGATAAATTGTTTCATTTAATTAGTGTTTGTCGATGAAGTTTATCGAATAGTCGTGTAACTGTTGTATAGCAACAATATAGAAGCACGATGAGTTTTAATAAGAAATTAAAAGAAATAGCTCTGTATATTGGGTCTGAATATTCAGATTTAGAACTGAATAATATATCTAGTTCACATATGTGTGTCGTGGACATTTGTAAAAATGTTTTTAAAAAAACAAATGATAATAAACTTAAACGAAATATTGTATATCATTTAAAAAATGAAAATTCAACACTTCGTAAACTTTTAATAAATACTGAGATGCATGACGGTAATAATGACTCATTCAATTCTGAAAATGAGAGCATTAATTCATGCAAATTAAGAGATACTTTACAAAAGTATAATTACACATCAATCCACTTTACAAATTTCAACAGAATCATTCTCGATGATATATGTAAAAAATTAAAGATGAAACTTAATCACACTAACAGAATGTCAATTTTTAGAAAAGGACAGAAAATGTTCAATATTTCTTATAACCGTAGTGACATGACGGGTATTGCGGAACCTATAGCACAAAATGAAGGGTCAAACAATGTTGATACATTACAATTGAAGGAAGAAATAAATGTTAGCATTAACTGTGATTCGATTGACGATGTCTTAAATGGAATTGACAGCTTAAATGGGGACAAAATAAACTATGCTTCAACTAAAATAAAATCTAAGGAAGACGTACCTACGATAATTTCTTTCACTGAAACCACTATTATAACACCTGAAAAAGCGCTTAGTGACGTTACTGATGGGAAATTTACTCATAGTACCCCAAATAATATCAAAATAAATAACAATGGCAGTACTAATGATAGTATTGCTGTTAAATTAAATAGCACCAAGGATAGATCTGATGGAAGCATCTGTGTAACTCCGATAAAAAAAAAATAAAAATAAATACAGCAAAGTATCAACTCCTTTAAAAAATATTTTATTGAAAAAGACTCCATCAAAGATAAGGGGTACATTACCTTTGAATACGAGAAATAGGTATGATAAATCTAACGATGATGATATTAATAGTTGTAGTGAACTTATTTCATTACCCAAGTTTAATAAAATCGATGTGTATGAAGGTAAATTTGTAGTTTCGAAAGAACAATGGTCACTTATTAGTTATGTAAGCGATGACGGATTAATAAAATTGAACACCAATAACTATCCAAGTATTTTTCGAAAATTAGTTAGGAGTGTAAACAATACCTGTGTTTTAGCTTCTAAAAATGTTAATTTCGGTAAACATCATTGTATTGTGTATATGTATTGCAAATTCCCGGGCTGCAAAACGTTTAAATTTAGATGTGTGCCCGAGGAAAATAATACAATAATTCATGTGTATAGTTCAAGTTGGGACTACTACCATGATACTAATTACGGTCTCACAAGCTACGTTAAAGGTGTTCAGCGTAATTTGTATAGAGAAAAGTTGTTAGAAACTAAAGCATTTGCATTTCAATCGGAAAATAAAAAAAATGCCTCTAAACGTCAGATGCTAGACAGCGGAAATATGCAAGACGTTAAATCTGAAGATGTTATTAGGAAGATTCGGTCCGAAGCCTTAATGGCCGGGGATTACGCCCAAGGTGATTTAGAAGACCTATTAGTGATGTATTCGGATAAAGATATAAATTATTTGGGTCATGTAGGTTTACCTGCTTATTTTCATGTTTATAGCATAGAACAATTACATTTATTAAAATCTCTTGATTCGACTAAACCTGTAACTGGTTATTTGGACGCTACCGGTACGGTTGTTAGGAAGGCTGATAGAAATCACAAGAGGGTCCTCTACTATGCATTAGTTACGTCTTTTCAACTGCCATGTAATTCAAGTATTAATTGTGCAATCGTAGAAATGGTAAGTTCAGCCCATGACGTTTGTGTCATCTCGCAATGGTTATGCGCTTTTAAGGCGTTTGCATTAAAAAATAAATCAAGTTGGCCCATATTTACTAATGTGGTGACCGATTTTAGTTTCGCTCAAATGCACGCATTGTCTATTGGATTTAACGGTTTTAATTCTATTTTTGACTACCTCAATTGGTGTTTTAGAATTTTGTATGAAAATATTAATTTAAATGGTCCAAAAATTACCATTATAAACGTTTGCGCAAATCACTATACCAAAATAATAGTAGATCACGTGTATGGACATTATCAAACTAATAATGAAAACTGCAGAGTTAAAAAAAAAGAAAGGACTAATCAAATAATTAATTGGATATGTTTGCTTTTTAATTGTACGACCATGGAAAATATTGAAACATGGTTTATATCATTTTCTACGATATTATTGTCGCAACGAGTAACTGTTAACTTAAATAACGCATTAAGTGTAATGCAAAATGATTGTTATTATAGTTTTACTACGTATGAAAACGAAGAAATAAATGAAAGCAGCGATTATTTAAAAAGTGATACAAATCAAATATTTTACGGATCCGAAACAAAAAAATCTAAATTATACTATAGGTTTTTGGACATAAAAAAAAAGTTGAACGTGAACTGACTGAAGATGGATTAGTTGAAAATGATTATTTTGATGACGGTTATTTACAAGATTTCATAGACAAATGCATACCATTCATACCACTATGGACACCAGTAGTAAATTATAAGCTCAAAAATGGTGTCGGAATTCGATTAAGTAACGCGACTGTAGAGTCCTGGTTCAAAACAATTAAAGTTGATATATTCCAAGGTAGTTTGAGACAAAAGTGTGGGCGGTTTTTACGCACAATGAGAGAGCGTGTACAAATAGTATGCAAACAGGTGGATTGCAAAATTAGGAAAAAAAGAATGACGCGCCCAAACAAACTAAGGGATATCACGAAAAAAATAAAATTTGAAAATTCAGTTGATAACTGTATAGATGCTGTTGAGGAATGGGGTAAAAAAGAAAAACAATCAAAACATTTAAAGCCCAAAAGTTTCCGCCCATTTAAAACAGAATCCTTAAGAACACAAATCCCCGTTGGTGACGTAGTATACACATTAGATAGCCCACCACAATCATCTAAACACTCTAAATGCAGTACGAATAATACAACCATAAAATCATCATCAACCCCCTTCAATCAAACAACAATCGGATGTGTACCCGAAAAAGAACTGTACGGCAATGGCTTACCAAAAGATTTAATGTACTACCAAAAAAATGGTTTTGCCGGATGGTACATTAAAAAATGATTATATTGTTGGTCTATATGGATACCTTTGCAAAGATGAAAAATGCGATTTCATAACAGATTTAGATTTTAGAGCATTCGATACATTATCAGAAAATAATTGGTTAAGCAATTTCGTTATAGATATATGTTTGGCAACTTATTTAGTAAAAATCGGTTCACCTAATATAAAAATCTTATCAACAAACACCGTACGTTTATTAATGATGAAAAGAGATTATGGTGAAGAATATGATGAAAAAATTAAAGTTTCTTATAACGATATTATTCTTATGCCATGGAGGGTTAATGATAATCATTGGATATTATTAGTTATAAACGTAGAAATGAAAATGTTTACTGTTATGGACCCATTAAACACAAATGAACCAATTAAAATGATTCGTTTGCGAGAAGTGCACAGAGTTCTAACCTCAAATTTTCTTTACGAAGATGGTAATAAATTGCCAAAGATGTCAACAAATAATAATATGTTCGAAAATGTACCCAAGCAAACTGATGGTTACAATTGTGGTGTTTTTATACTTTATTACGCATTTACCATTATGAATAAGACATGTTTTGATTTAACATTTGACCCCTCAGGATATAGGACGTTTTTAAAAAAATATTTACTAGAAACCTCTGAAGACATGACCAATGTTTGTCTTTATTGCGGTTGGAATTCGAATAAACACCGTTGTTACATAGAAAAAGTAACCATTGACTGGGTTTGTTGTGAATCATGTTTTCGCTGGGTTGCGCAGCAATGCATTTTCAAAGATAAAAACAAAACAATCAACTATGAAATTGATGAGTTTAAATGTTTACTATGTAAAATTTAAAGATTTAATTACTAGTCAAAAATTAACTTTTTCTTTGGGTTTGACAGTAAGTGTATATATTACAATACATTTCTGTCACATTTTTTAAACTTATAAATTATATTTAAAAAAAAAATAAAAACAAAAATAAAATAAAATTATAAACATAAAAAAAATTAAAAAAAAAAACAAAAAAAATAAAAAAAAACACATCATTGCAAAATCAATACGCTCAAATGGGAATCTAAAAACCAGGGAAGTAACTCAGTTTAATAGCATTATAACAATTTACAGATAACTGATATCGTTGACTTTACCATAATAAAGGTTTTAACATGTAATTTTCGTATTGTATTTAATATCGTTGACTTTACCGGTCGGTTACCTAAAGTAGAACACTTTTGTACAACTTTTTATGAGAACGAATTTTGTAGGAAATTTCACAAGTTTTCATTTGATAGTAAATTGAAGCATGGAGTCTTTCCGGAAGGTTGTCGAACTTTAAAAAAACCAAACCATAATAAAGGTTTTAACATGTAATTTTCGTATTGTATTCAATATCGTTGACTTTACCGGTCGGTTACCTAAAGTAGAACACTTTTGTACAACTTTTTATGAGAACGAATTTTGTAGGAAATTTTACAAGCTTTAATTTGATAGTAAATTGAAGCGTGGAGTTTTTCCGGAAGGTTGTCCAACTTTAAAAAAACCAAACCATAATAAAGGTTTTAACATGTAATTTTCGTATTGTATTCAATATCGTTGACTTTACCGGTCGGTTACCTAAAGTAGAACACTTTTGTACAACTTTTATGAGAACGAATTTTGTAGGAAATTTTACAAGCTTTCATTTGATAGTAAATTGAAGCGTGGAGTCTTTCCAGAAGGTTGTCGAACTTTAAAAAAACCAAACCATAATAAAGGTTTTAACATGTAATTTTCGTATTGTATTCAATATCGTTGACTTTACCGGTCGGTTACCTAAAGTAGAACACTTTTGTACAACTTTTTATGAGAACGAATTTTGTAGGAAATTTTACAAGCTTTAATTTGATAGTAAATTGAAGCGTGGAGTCTTTCCGGAAGGTTGTCGAACTTTAAAAAAACCAAACCATAATAAAGGTTTTAACATGTAATTTTCGTCTTGTATTCAATATCGTTGACTTTACCGGTCGGTTACCTAAAGTAGAACACTTTTGTACAACTTTTTATGAGAACGAATTTTGTAGGAAATTCTACAAGCTTTCATTTGATAGTAAATTGAAGCGTGGAGTCTTTCCGGAAGGTTGTCGAACTTTAAAAAAACCAAACCATAATAAAGGTTTTAACATGTAATTTTCGTCTTGTATTCAATATCGTTGACTTTACCGGTCGGTTACCTAAAGTAGAACACTTTTGTACAACTTTTTATGAGAACGAATTTTGTAGGAAATTCTACAAGCTTTCATTTGATAGTAAATTGAAGCGTGGAGTCTTTCCGGAAGGTTGTCGAACTTTAAAAAAACCAAACCATAATAAAGGTTTTAACATGTAATTTTCGTATTGTATTCAATATCGTTGACTTTACCGGTCGGTTACCTAAAGTAGAACACTTTTGTACAACTTTTTATGAGAACGAATTTTGTAGGAAATTTTACAAGCTTTCATTTGATAGTAAATTGAAGCGTGGAGTCTTTCCGGAAGGTTGTCGAACTTTAAAAAAACCAAACCATAATAAAGGTTTGAACATGTAATTTTCGTATTGTATTCAATATCGTTGACTTTACCGGTCGGTTACCTAAAGTAGAACACTTTTGTACAACTTTTTATGAGAACGAATTTTGTAGGAAATTTTACAAGCTTTAATTTGATAGTAAATTGAAGCGTGGAGTTTTTCCGGAAGGTTGTCCAACTTTAAAAA